AAAGAAAAAGAGGACACCCTCGTTACCATCATGAAATCAGGCCCTGGCCTGAGTCCTCACAGCTTTTTATCACACAGCCCCGCAGAGACGCTGACAGCTCCTTAGCTAAATGCTTCTCCCTTGCTCAGAAACTGCCCCCTCAGCCAGCATCTCTGCACCCCACACGTGAAGGCCCAGGCTGCACAGGGGAGGAGGCACTGGGCCAGAGTCTTTCCTGGGGGCAGGGGGCCCAGTGGGGTCAAGTTGCCCAACCTCACTGACCAACCCCTCTGCAAAGCTCTCTGGGCAACGCAGGCATTTCCTTGGGACTGCCTGAGAGCCAGCCTCTGCTCCGGGGCTGACAGAGGATCTGAGAAAGCCAGGCCACAGGCCCAGGAAGCCAAACGCTTTCACAAGCAACTCAAGGCCTCAGACAGGAAAGGGTGCCCACGGGCCCCAATTCCCGAGTGCGGAGGACTCTTAGGCACCGAGGGGCACAGGCTGGAGCGGAAGCCTCGCCCCACTGCTCCTCTGTGGCTGTCCTGCTCCAGCCTCCTCTCCCCAGAGAGTACCTGTCATCAACCTCATTTCCCTGCCCTCACTTCCTCGCCTCTCCAATCCCATGTTTTCAGTCTGCAGGCTCAGACAAGACCAATGCATTCTTATAAGGGCATCTCTACTTTACCTGCAAGCTCACAGGTGAAATCGGGAGAGGAGGGCCCTGGGGTGGGAAGGCAGGGAAACGGGGGCTTATTACCTCCATCCCCTCTGATTTCATAATGCCTGTCCGTTTCTTGCCAGCAGAAATTCTGCTTGGAAGTACTTGTGAGGCATGACGTTTCCAGCACGTCTGGAAAGCAACAGAATGTTCCCTTACAGACTTCTTGGGCTTCCCATCCTTCATCAGCTCCTCAGCGATGCCTCCCCGACCACTGGGCAGACCTGGGGCCCCTCCTGCTCGCCTCCCCTGCAGAGCGAAGGTGGTCCCGCGGGGACATGAACACTCACGTCTGCCACTGTCTCCCACACCAGCCTCCAAGCTCCTTAAGAGCAGCCTCAGCTTCTCTCATCTGTATTCTTAGCGCCTGACCCTGGAGCTGGCCAGGCACTCCATAACATCCGGGGAAAGGATGAACAGATTCAGACAACCGGAGGAGTGAGCGGTACAGGCCGCCGGTTAAGAGCTCAGGCACCCAGGTCTGAATCCCAGTGCAGGTACTCATTACCAGTGTGAGCCTCAGTTTCCTCATCAGTGAAATGGGGGTGACAGGAGGACTCACGAGGGTGACATAAGATGGTGGAGTACAGGCCTGAGCACTGATCAGATCAGGGCAAGCAGGGAGCAAGTACCAGGTGAACATGGACTTGGTTCATATGCAGCTGTCGCCAGGAACTCCTGACCCTGGAAAACAAACCACCAGTGTGGTATGGGGCTGACTAAGTACCGTCATGGCATGGCTGTGTCCATCTTAACGCCAAAGACGAGTCCATGCACAGTGCCCCCGCGGCCGAGGGACTGCGAGGAGGCAGCCTCTGGGTGCTACAGGAGGCAGCTGCAGAAATCCTAACCACAGAGCGATTGGAAAAGCTCAAATGGGAAGCCGTCTCTATTTGTCTTGCCTTCCAGTTGTCAGCCCGCTGCCAGGAACTGGGGCGTGTGCTCCGTCGGACTCTGAGTCTCTCCGGCTTTCTGTACATGAGTCTCCAACCCACCCCTCCCCCCACTCTCCCCGCGCAGCGCTGCCCACAAGACACCTCCCACACATCTCTGCCAAGACTAATTCATGTCCCTCAGATACTCCTACTGTAAGTTTTCTTTTTCACAGAACTCGTGGCTGAAATCACTTTTAGTGTTTCACAAAGCAAACAATCCTAGGAAGACTGGGTGAGGGGTAAGGAGACAAACATCAAACATATCACAGAACAGCCTTAATAAAGGATTTTTAGATTTCATGGCTCCCTGTAAAATTTCACATCAGTCATCAGCTTTATAATTTGGAAGTTAAGTGAATGCAAGGAGGGCTTCTCCACAGCCATGCTCCCAAGCAGATCACCGGCTGTACGTCATAGAGGCAGCCCTCAGCGCTGCCAAGTCAGATGCAATTACAAAGCTCTAAAGGTAATTGTGGTGGGCACAGCTCACTGGCCATCCCAGTACCCGTGCCCATCCCCTGCCCCCATCACCTTGGCTGTAGAAACTAAAAAGTCTCAACTTGCTTTCCTAGTCTCCCTTGAAGTTGGGAGTAGCCATGTGACACAGAGCCTTTCCGTTGAGATCACAAAAGACGGTGAATGCTGCTGCCGAGTGCCATCCAACAGAAAGGCAGGGATCTTCAATACAGGAAGCAGTGCATTGAACCTTAGTAACAGTGTGTGACAAGTTTCAACTTGTTCGATGCAGTTAGTTGGGTGTGAGCTACGGTCGAGAGAAGGTGTGATTAAAAGTGTGCCGTAAATCATCCTCCATCATGACAACGTTCCGTGTCACACATTGCTTCTGGTATACAGCAATTTCAGTCAAATAAAAACATTACGGTGTGTCCTCATCCACCTAATGCACCAGATCACCAGTGTGATTTTTGGCTCTTCCCCAAAGTCAAACTGACTCAGGACATCAAGGCAGCCACGACAACGCAACTAAAGATAATCACGCAAGAGGACTTCCAGAACTGCTTCAGCAGGTGGCAAGAGCGATGGGATAAGCGTGTTTGAAGCAAGGGGAGTATTTTGAGAGGGATTAATGGCAATGTGTTACTATAAAAAAACATTTTTTTAAATTTAAACATTTACCGTACCTTTTGATCACACCTCATATATAATAGATGTCTCTTGTTTTATTTCCTAATTCCAATACCTGGGTCATCTCAAGATCTACTTCTATAGGGCTACCTTTCTTTTTGTTTCTTCCTTGATTATGGGTCACATATTTCCTGGTTCTCTGCAAGTCTAGCAATTTTCTTATACATTAACCACTGCAGAGGAAACCAGTCTTGCGGGGAGTCTAGATTATGCTGTCACCCTTTAAAGGTGTTGAGTTTTGCTCTGAAAGTTCCTTTTGAACATGTCAGGCTTACTTTTATTTACCGAGGTGAGTCTTTTGATTTTGTCATCAGTCTTAGGGTGTCATCCGTATGTCTAACATATGGCCTTTTTGGGGTCTCAACTGCATACTTTTGGCTGGGCCGTAACTCCAAGGTCTCTGAGCACCGTGCAGCCCAGACTCACAGCAATCATTTTCTATTAGGCCTTATGGAGTGTCGCTTTGTGCACGGGCAGCCCTCAGCCCAGGACCTGCAGTGAACACAGATTTCTGCCCACCTCTACCATCCCCACATCACTCCCTCTTCTCCTGATGTTCAAGGCAAACCAAGTGCTGACCTCGAAAGACAGCTTTTTCAATAAATCTGCACAGGGGTTCAGCAAGAACCAGGTGAGTCACCATGGTTACTAAACATTTCCGGGGAACAGTTGAAAATTCACAGCTGACAGTTTCAAGAATAATGTCCCTCAGTTATGTTATTACATTTCCAATGTGAGGCAGAGGTCAAAACAAAAGAGCTAATTAGGTGGCTTTACGACAATGCCTGTTACAGAGTCATCTGACAGGTCCTTGAGGTGACCTGGCATCCCTCCTGGTAATGGACCCCGACTGTCAGCAGATAAGGGCTGCCACTGCCTGGGATATTACAGAAAGCAATGTCCCCAGCTTTGTTCTCCTCATTTAGTCTCTCAATATTACCGTGTGCTTCAAAGGAACAAGGTTCTGTGTTAACAAGTTCTAATGAGTACTTTTCCAAATCCATATGCTATTCTCTGCTACATTCTGAATAAATTATAATGGGAAAATGGCCTATTCAAGATATGTCTTTTGAGTGAGAAAACTAGGGGTCATACATCCATATGGCATTGGTATTGTCAGTTGGTATACTGCAGTTCTAATTCAGTGAAGTTTTGCAGTGATTAGAGGTTATTTATAACTTTGTGCTTTCTTTGTATATAAAAGCACAGTATTGGATCAGACCTAAAGTCCATTTTAGTCCAGTACCTAATTCTGACAGTGTAACCTATGGGTTACTACAGAAGGGTGCAACTATCCTTATGGTGACTACCACAGGGGAAGAGCTACCATGACATACCATCAGAGCCTTCATGACGCCTGTACCTTTCCAGGTCTTGTTTCTGTCCAGTCTCCTGCTGACGGACACACAGACTGTTGGACTGCTGGCGGAAGTGTCCCTGATTTGCGATCATCATTTCTCTCTAGAGTTTCTGGGAGTGATCTCTCAAGTCTGCACGTATATCCTGAAACTTGGTAAGCTTACAAGATACCTTGCACAGAGCGGTTCTGGCATACCCAGAATGTATTTTGCCCAGGCTACGGGTGATTGGAAGCAAGCCCCCTCTTTCGGTAGTTGGCTTTGCCTTGAATCCCTGAACATATAAAGAGCCAGAAGGTACCTTAAAGACCACTTGCTCCCACCCTCTCCTTTTACTGATGAGGAAACTGAGGCCCAGGGATGCACACCAGTCTACACTGTTAATTAGGGACACAGGAGTTAAAATCCAGAGCTTTGGTTCCTGGCTTAGTTCAGTTTCACTCTGGCCTTCCCTCATGGCAACAAGCCATCTCCGCACTCCTTCTCTGGGCCCCTGAAACATCATTTTGTCTTTCTGGAGGCCTTACTAGAACCCCACAGAAGAAGATACTATTTTCCTTTCTAGCTTTATTGATAATATAGTTGTGGATAAAGCTGAATGCTTTTTTGGCCTCTATGGCAGTACAATGATTGAGGGTGTTGAAAGGTCAGCAGACAGCTGAGCTTGACTTACAGCTGAAAGACTCAACCATCACCCCCTGCGTGAGTGCCCAAGGCTCAGGTGCTTCCTGTCTGTACACCCACGGCTCCAAGAGCCCTTCCTAGAGTTCACCCCCAACACGAGGCACTCCAATACCCAGAAGACCTTGGTGTTGCCTCCCAACACGTACGGCATTATTGGGGAGCCTTCGGGCTGACACTCACCTTGGCATAAGCAGTTGTCTTAATGAACCACTGTCTGAGGTACTTCTGTTCCACCTTTGCTCCGGAACGCCACGAATAGCCATGTTCATCCACCTGCTCATTGGCAAGCACTGTGTGATCCACTGGGTCCCAGTTAACCAAGGCCTGTTATAATTCATGAAATGAAATGATACCATCTGGTGAGTACACTGAAGAATCGTTCTGAGGTCCCTTACACGTGAGAGGGTCTGCACATGCACTGTCTCTACTCTGAGACTTGACAGCGTCTCCTTGGAGTGCTGCTTGGCAAGGAAAGCACAAGCAAGCTGTGAAAAAAGCCCACGTGAACGGCCTCTGTGCTTTCATCTTATTAGAACAGGCTTGGGAAGGAAGTCTATAAGCATGTGTCTAACTCAGGTCTCATGTGTTCTTGAGTGAAAGGATGAACTTGAATTGGAAATTTTAGTAAATAGAGGAAAGGAAGGGAAAAAACAGTGCCTAGAACTTACGTTCTCTATCACCCACTGAAGTCAACTCCATGCCCCTTTCCAGTAACCTAGCCTTATTTGTAAGATACAGCCAATCGCTGTATTTTGAAATCAACCTTAAATCAGCATTGAACCACTGAAACGCTGGTCAACACACTGAACCCCAGTCGATTTTGCCTAGTGCTTCCCCACAAGTTATCCGGCAACGTCACTGAATGAGCCATTCCAAATAAGGGAGTTTCCCGAGATGATCAAGAGTTAAACACTAGGATTAATCCTTTTTGTTGTTTGAGTGATTTATGGGAAGCTTTTAGAAATGCACACCAAAACGCAATTATAAACATGAATCAGCCACGTCCACAAGGGTCCATTCTGAACAGGGACGGTGGGTGTCCCATCATTTCTACCTCCTCTCCCTACCCCTCCTGGCCATTGGGCTGTTGGAGGGATAGGCGACTACGGGCTCCTCTGGGGATTCTCAAGGCAGTGTCATCCTGATTTTGAGTTTCCTAGCTCCCCTCTCTGAGACACAGCAGCTGTGGCGCCTACTGCCCCACCTCCTGCGCCAAACCTCAGCCTTTCTCGTCTCGCCTTCCTCTTCCCGTGGGTCCTCCTTGGCCTGGCTTCCCTGGGCCTTACCCCTACCCTTCTTTCTCCTGCAGCTCTGCTTTTATACGGTCAAAGATCTTTTCTGAGTAGACTGTCGTGCAGTTTCAGGTTCCAGGACACTGGTAAAGTACATAATTTAGGGTATTGATTGTCTCAAGGTCCGTTAGCTTTTTTTCTTGACAAAAGCGTGCTTAATTAAGGAACACCACATAGATCTTTAAAAGAATTTAATTCTCAGAATCGATCTTGATCCATTCCATCCAGAATGGACCTAAATTTGGACTGAGTCAGAGGGAAGGTAGAGGGTTTCCAAGGCGACTGCCACCACCTCCCGAAGCCAGGGACAGAGTGGGACAGGCTGTTTGTACACAGAGTGTCCTTTGGTGTGCTTCCTGAAGACGAGGCCACCATGCAAACCTAGCTTAGGTGGGTGAGCTGGCACCATCACCAGCTGCCACTGCAATCACAGAAACAGCCAAAGACGAACTCACAGGTTAGGTGGCTCTCCATAGTTCCCTGGAATGTCCCAGCACAAGACTGCATCATCCTTCTTCTCTCTACTCAGTACATCCACAGAAAGTTATTTTAAACCACAGAGGTGAAATTGCTGTTCTGCCAAGTAGAGATGTCTTTGTATTCATATTTATGGCTGAAAATACTTTTGGTTTGTGAGAGCAGGAGCAGACTCCTTTAGATTGGGGCTAACTCTGATCTTCGAACAATGTACCCATTTTTGCATTCTATTTACGATTTTTTCTTAAGATCGTAACACTTTAATGGTGACTTAAAAAATGAATAAACCAAAAACATTGACGTCAACAACTAGATGAAACTTTCTAAATGGAAAATCCAAACAATAATCTATACTGTTCTTCCCTAATACCTGTCCATGGACGGGGCTGCCTTAGAATCAGCCAGGAAGCTTCAGAGTTTTTTTACTTTCTGTTTCTCCAGTTTAAATACTGCAGGGACTCCACGTAGCTGCAGGCACGTGCAGGCAGGCGTTCGTTGAGCACCTACTCTGTGCCGAGCACCTACTCTGTGCCATTCCAGGCTCTTCGCAAGCACCTACATGTTTGTTTAATCCTCGCAACAGCCTATGAAACAGGCAGAAGAGGCGTGCGGTAGGCAGAACAATCGCACCCCAATGTCTACGTCCCGATCCCCAGAGTATGTGATCTACATGAAAAGGGTCTTTGAAGATATGATGAAGTGAAGGGTGTCAAGACAGATTATCCAGTGGGCCCGGTGTAATGGCAAAGGCTCTTATAAGAGGCAGAAGAGGCAGAGGAGACGGGATGACGGAAGCACAGGTTAGAGAGATTAAGATGCTGTGCTCTGGCTTTGAAGATGGAGGGGGCGTCCAAAGTCAAGGAATGCAGGCAGCTTCCAGAAGCTGGGAACGGCCGGGAAATATTGTCCTCTACAGCCTCCTGAAGGAAGGCAGCCGGGTCGACATCTTGATTTTATCCCAGTGAGACCCTTTTTGGTGGACCTCTGACATCCAGAACTGTAGCACCATAAATTTGTTTGAAGCGGCCAAGTTTGTGATACTTTGTTACAGCAGCAGCAACAGGAAGCTAATACAGGTTGTTTTCATGAGACAAGTGGTCAGAGGGAAAACTGGACTCTATTCCCCAGGAGCATACGTACTACGGGGGTGAGGAGTGTCACACTGATCGGAAACAAACGAGGAGAGAGACCTCTGGAAGCAGAAGAATGGCTGTGCTTGTGCAGTGGGACCTCCCCTGGGCCCCCCTCCATCGTTAGAAAAGCTACACAGCTCCTAAGATGCTGCCTGTGATTGGCTTTGGATCTAATTCAACAGCGATGGGGTTAAGGCTCCTATTTGGGTTTGATGTGCTGTGCAATCGAGGCAGCGTGAACAAGCCCCGAGTGCAGAGACAGAGCTGTAAGGGCCCACTAAAGGATTATACAGTAAATATTCAAACAGTCAACTTAAAGAGACAATAAACAGATACAAAAATAAAGTGTCCTATAGAGGAATACTGTATGGCACACGTAAGGGCCCCATGTGAGAAATGTCTGCATTACAGTAACATGTCCCATGCACATAAAATAAACAGTAACCATGCAACCGAGGACAGAGGACAGGAAACGCGTGGTAACCCAACACAGCGGCTTACACTCTTCCGAGAACTGCTGATGCCCTCCTGTGGTTTGCCTGCAGCATGCCTCCGCTTTGCTGGGGCTCTTTCATGTCTTGTAACTTCTATTAGTGTTCCTTCGTCGTGCCGTCACTTGGGGCATGTAATGTAGCTCATGATACCTCCCCTCCCTCCACCTGGACCCATGGGTGAGTCCAGGGTGGAAACCCCTTTGGACATAATTACTGTCTGCCTAGAACAGGGGAGGCTGTCCTGGGAAAGTGACTGAGAGGCTGCTAGGTCAGCACCGAATCTCCTAAGTAGAGTGGGAAATTCTGAAGATATTTCCACTAATTCTCTTCCTACTCTTTTGTTTCTGAATATTAAATATTTAAAAAAAATTACCCAAAACTAAGAAGCAGGTGAAGTTATTTTATAACTCTGCCAGGGTGCAAGGGGAGAGGTTTACTTGTAGAAAACTCATATGTAGCAAGGTCAGTGGTTTTTGTCTGAGAATACTGCAAATGGTTCCCATCCAATGACAATGCAAATGATTTCTGTTTCAGAGAAAAGATAGCCCTAAAAGTTAGGTTTATTGCTTGTAGGACATTAAGCAGTTTTGATGCTACTGGCGAATTCATTTCAGCATTCCTTTGGCTCTATAAACTCAGATTCCTTGAAACTTCATTTGAACCACTCTTAACATATAACTGGTTCTCTCACTAATAAATGAATCAAATAAAAATATTTTATTTGATTCATTCATTGAATTGAGCGTTCATTTTGTATTTGTATGGAAGCCATGTTTCTAACTTTTGAAAATTATGCTTTAACAACATGAGAAGGTCAGTTGCAGTCAGGAACTTTGGACAGGTGGTCTCGTCCGGCACAGTCCTCACCTGATGATGGGGCTCTGAGATTAGAAACGACTATGGTGTTTTCAGAGTTAAACTGACCCAGGAGGGTGTACAGTGCTCGGACATTAGTATGACTCGGTTCCACAAAGTTCTCACTCTCGATTCATCCCAAATGTTAATGGGCACTCAATACTTTCTTTGAAAAATAATAAATTTAACATAATATTTTAAACAACCAACATTTTAATATTCTTAATTTAAAGATAGCAGGGGTAGGAGTTGTTTACTGTGTATATTGGGTTACAAAGTGTGTCCATAAGCGGCCATTTGCCTTTTTCATCATGCTAACATTTGCACTGATAGTACAAAAGCAAAGGTGGGTAAGACTGTTGGCTGTCAGCATGAATCGGGGCAGTGCCACCAAATGGTATACGTGGTCACTGGGCTCTTCACTTCTGAGCACTCACAGTATAAAGGGGAAAAAAGCCAGTTTCACTAAGAATGGCCTTGATGAAGCAGCAACATTTATTAATTTCATGAAATCTTAACCCTTGAGTACACACCTTTTTAGTATTTTCTGTAATGAAAGGGGAAGTAGGCATAACGACCTCTGTTGCATAGCAAAGTGTGAAGACTGTCTCGAGAAAGCACTAATGTGACCAAATAGTGAGCTGGATTTGCCACTTTTTTTTTAACTCTATTTTTGTAACTGTATTTTTATACGAAAGAATGACTGACGATAAATTATCGTTATTCAGACTTAGGTACGTGGCACACATTTTTCTCAAAATACACAGACTGAGCCTGTCACTCCAAGGAAAACAGCTGATGGTATCTGTTGCCAATGATAAAATTTGAACTTACAAGTGAAAATTAGAATTTTGGAAAACTTGTATCTGCCCACTATGAGCTCATGGCTTCCCAAAACAAAGACTCTTCTGACGATGCTGTTATAATGAAATATGTCAACATTTGGAAGATCTGTATAAACCACTGAGCCAGTATTTTCCAAATGATCAAGCATAATGCTACAAAAGTATGCATAGGTAAAAAACCCATTCCAAGTGCAAGATAGACCGATACATTTTAATATAACAGAGTACAAAAAGTTCATCAAAGTTTCAGGTTCAACATTGTAACTACCTTTATTAAGAAGCCACCGCTTGTTGGTTAAGAGCTGGCTTGGGACGCCAGAGGGCCCCAGTTCGGATCCCACTTAAAAAAAAAAAAAAAACTTAAAAAAAAAAAAAAAAAAAGCCACCGTTTGTTGAGTTTTGGTGTAGTATCAAAGACCATTCATCGTTATGTGAATTGGCTATAAAAATGCTCCTCCACTTTTAGCAGGCTCTGTTCATTAGTTCTGGTGTTAACCATTATAACTTTAAGTAATAAAATTATACTTTTGGTCTCTTATCTTTAGACAGCTCTGCTGACCCTCTGCCATGTATTATGAGATATTCAACATGGTCATACAGCCTTCCTCCCACCCCCGATCCCTCTCCTAGTTTTTGCTATTTTTGTTACCTTTAGCTTTAATAACTTTCTAACTTAAAAAAACAAACAAACATGTAAACGTCTAATTTTGTATCCATGACTCCTTGCTACGCAAGATGAAGGGATCATCTCACACTTGCTTGTACTTCTCTTTCCCGATTTCACCTGGGTTTTGTTAGCTATATTATCTTTACGTTGTCAAGGTTTAAGATACTTTTGTTTTATTCTGAAATTCAAGTTGAGCCTTCTGCATGTGTCTCTATATTGATTCTAAAACTTTTCACACTTAAAACATAATGATTATGTGCGTACTCTTCACTGCGAGACCAAGCAGTGTGATGTGTGACCCACAGAGAAGAAAATGTAATTCTCTGTCATTAAACTCGCCTGGTCAAAGGAGCCTGTCTCCAGCATAAAGGTACAATGCATTTTCTACTTGTTACTTCTGAAGTTTCTAGACCAGTGTTGTCTAGAACATTCTGTGATGATGGAAATATTCTATATCTGTGCTGTCCAATATCAGCTACTAGCATGGGAATGTGGCTAGTGTGACCGAGGACCTGAATCTTTAATGTTAATTAATCTCTTTTTTTGTTTGTTTTATTAAATGTATTGGGGTGACATTGGTTAATAAAATTATATGTTTCAAGTGTACAATTCTATAATACATCACCTGTATGTTGCACTGTCTGTTCACCACCCAGAGTCAGTTTTCCTTTCAGCACCATATATTTGACTCCTGTACCCTCTTCTACCTCCCCCCTTACCCTGTGGTAACCATTAACTTTAAACTTAAATATCAACAACCACAGGCCATTAGTGGCTAAAGTCCTGGGCAGTGAAGTTCCAGGCCACACTATGACACTCTTCCCCTCACCCCGCTCTCACCCCCACCTAAGGCTTATCTACTATTATTGAGCTCCGGCCATAACCAGTACCTCCATTTCTTGGGAGATCACTATGTATAGGCACTGTGATAGTTGTTCTTTAAATATTATCTTTCTCTTCCCAAGACCCTGCAAGGATGATGTTACCAGCCCACTGGGCAGGTGAGAGCGCCCGACTCCTGGAGGTTGCATTACCCAGCCGGCACACAGCTGGGAGGGGGAGCTGAGCGAGGCTTTGAGAAGCCTGCACTCCTCCTGTGCTCCCTCCCTGATCTCAGTACAGGCACCAGACACTGTGTTACGTGCTGGGAATTCAAGGGTGAAGAAGAACCCCGTCCTGTCCTGGAGCCACCAAACAAAACCAGGCAGTCGTTACCATCTGGGTCTGCTGTGATTGATCATGAACTACAGTAGTATTCATTTTCACAGCTACTGTGCAAACAGGTTTTTTCATTTCTTATTTAACAATGATGTATTCTAAGAAGATGGAAAAAATTTACAAAAATTTTAAAATGCATCTAACTTGAACTTACCTCCTTTTGATAGGCCAGTCCAGCTTCGTAGAGTTTAATGAAGAGGTACTGAGTCCACTTGTAGTAATCGGGTAAACACGTCGTTACTTCCTGCCAACGAGAGGAAAAAAGAAATCACACATAGGCCATAGTAGACATTGCCCCCCATGCAACATATGCATCAGCCTTGCAATTCGCTTTGAAAATCAATCATTCTGCAAAAATTTTACCAACCTGGGCCAATTCATAAAGTGAGGGAAGAAGCAATTTGTTCTGGGAAGAGAGATGTTATTGAAATGCCACTCCCACCTTCCCAGGGTGCGTTTAATGGTGAGAAAAATCAGCTTGAAGTGTTCTGCACAACCCCTCCCTCCACCCATGCAAGTAACAGGTGAGTTACATTGTACAAAATTGGGTATTCCTGTTTTTGTCAGCACAAACGTTCTGGGGGCCAAGAAGGGGATTCATGACCGTCGTTCACTTTGAAAGCAATCACAAAACTCAAGAGGAGTCCTCGCCTGCTGCCATATGATCCTCATTTGAGAACAAACCTTGTGTTTCTACATATAACCAGCTCCTGCAGTTCATTATCGCATTTATCCCATTATGTGCATCAGGCTGGTGTCTACTTAGCAAGACCCATTGAAAACATTATCAATATTAACCTTAATCAGTTAGAAATCACCTGGCTTGTATTTCCAAGCCCAAATTGAAGGTTCCCAAAACGCATTTTCTGTCCTGAAAACACATTTGCTACAGAATTTTTTAGAAACAGGTTGTTGCTTAGCCAGCCTACCAGGTTTCCAGTTGACAGTCAAGAACGCGCGAAGACCCCTACACTCACGCTGTTCCTTTCCTAGGGCTCTTCTTCACAAAATAGCTAGCGCAGACATGGATGTGGGAAAGGGGACAGTCCCAGTGGTTCCTTTGGTTATGGGCTACTGACAGAAGGCACACATCCAGCAAAAGTGCACACAGCTCAGCCCTTCCTCGGATGACTAAACGAGAGAGCAGAAAACCCGGATGGGGGGCAAGTGTGGAGAGAGCCGGGGCTCCCAGTTTCTCTTATGTGAGCTTCTTACGTATTACATTCTTTCATGTGCTGATTTATAAAAACAGCAGAATGGCTGCTAGAAAACAAAGACTTCTGATTACCAGCTCCAATGCCCCCTGCAAGGCTGAGAGTAAACGACCAGCCAGTCTAACAGCTTCACCACGCTGTGGCTGTCCCCTGTCAGGCCAGCCCCATGCAATGCCGCAGCTGTGACTCTGGGCTATGTGCGTGACACAGCCTGTACCAGCTCCCGAGGCCCCATGGGCATCACGTCTGCAGGGGGCTTCGTGCACAATGCACTTCGCCAAGAATTGGACCAGCACACTGTGGGCAGGCTTGCTCCCCCAAACCTCCAAATTCACCCTCATCCCACATCTTTTCCTCACCAGCTACCCCCCACCCCCACCCCGCCCTATCCCCGGTAGGAATGGCACAGAACTAATTTCCTGTTTTCCAGACCAGCAACTGAAGAACTTGCATCTCTAACAAAACCCAGGGCAGAAGCTATGTTTCATTTTGTTCATCATTGTCTGCTCAGGGCCAGGCATATCGAGGCACGTCAAAATTATTGTTGAAGGAAAAAGTACACGCCATAGGCATAGGAACTCCTGCATGTTAAATCAAATTTGTATCCCTCATTTGGTTTCACAAACTAAATTCAAATTACATTGGTCCACAAGATGAACTGGGGTAAGGGATGGGGCGGGGGGAGGAGGGATGTGATAAAAATGTCCCCAGACTTTGTTATTGTGAATATGTTTGTTTCTTAAAATTCTTATTCATCAGAAGTTTAAAGAAACACGTGAAGCAAATATGAGAAAATAATGACAACTGTTAAATGTAGGAAATGAGCGTTCCCTTTTCTCTATTTTTCTGTCTATGTAAGTTTTTCATAATAAAATACCAAAATATTCTAGTGAATGTTATATGTTCATTCATTACACATTATACATTGTATGTATGTTTGAAGGTGTTTTCTCAGCCCTGAACCTGCTTCTATAGATTGAGAGTGAAAATTACACAGCAACGGAACAGCGTTATTATCTTCATGTAGGTTTATGGTTTTGAAAATCACTTTTACCTAAAATAGCAGAGAGATGATAGATCCAGCCAGAAAAAAATGAAATAATTATCCAACCAAGCATTAGCCTACTTTCAGTCAGACGTGAATGCAAAGTGCGTTCTCTTTGGAAGTGTCAGCTCCGAGGTGAGGTGAGGGGTGGGGGGTTGTAGGCCCCCCACCCCTCACCTCTGCCTTCAGACTTGGGTCTGACCTGTGTTATTTATATTGGGTTTCTGCATATGTCATTTGAAGGAAAGTAACACCATCTGCTAAAAGAGTACAGCTTGCAAACCACTGCTCCAGGACCATGATTCTCTTCCTGACTGGAGGAGAGACTGTTCCGTGATGTGACCACTGCTGGACCTGTGAGCTGGACCCGGGCCAGAGGGGGGAGCGTGCTTACTGCAAACCCCCCTTGGAGGCTGTCTGATCGTAACTGATGCTCCTTCTGACAGAAATCAGCACCCTCTCCTGCCTCCCACTGCGTGCTGGTCCCTGAAACAGCTTGTTTTCCTGGCCTGGTCAAGCATGTAATTTCCCGTACCTGGTAGCATTCACGTCCTCAGACCTGTGACTGCCCGTCCCCCACCCCCACTCCCCCCTTTTACGGTATATAATTCTTTGGCGCCTGCCAAGGGGCGCAGGAATCCGGTTCGTCGTGCAGCCACCAACACGCCTCCTATGGAAGTTTCCCTTAATACATTCTATTAATTATCAGGCTGCAGTGGCAGCCACTTCATCAGTCTTTCCCTGCCTTCCACGTACGGAGGCAGATTTTCAGTCTCTGGAACTTTCCCTGGGTCTGCCTGTACTAACACCGGATGGTTTTATTGTAATGCGTGTTTACCACACTCACACTGTCCCCTCATGCTGAAGTGCCTGAGTCACCTGCCCTGAGGAAGCTGGGGCTGCCTGAGGACAGGAACTGCACTCCTGTCCTGCATCCCCAGCTGCTGCACACAGGGCCTCCCCAGGACCCTCGGTGCCATCCACTCTGTGAAGAAATGCCAGGCCAGGTGCTCACAAGCCCCCCCAGGAATCTAGTCTCACGAGAACCATAAATGTTGGGGCGGGGGGAGAGATCCCTGCTCAAAAATGCATTTCCTGAAAAAGTCAGAGCCCCTCCCGGACCTCCCTTGATTTGCTGATGTAGAACAAAAACAAAAACAAAACAGCTATTTCTAGTCTTCTAATGCCTCATCACAGTAAAAATCATCAAAGACATTTTTCTGAAATTAAACTGCTTAAAAGTTTTAACTTTAGTCTGGCTAGAAATTGAGACTCCCTTTGCGCATTTTCACCAGGAACTGCTCGCTTACTTAAAGCCCAGCCCTGCAGACAAGGGCACCCGCACAGATGTTAACAGCCTTGCTTCCTTTTCTTAAAGGAGTCTCAACAAGGAAACTTGCTCCTTCAGGACATCTGGGAATGCCTGGAGACATTTTTGTTTGTCACAACGGTGAGGGCAGTGGTGGGGGCTGTCACTGGCATCTAGTGGATAGCGGGCAGAGACGCTGCTAAAAACCCTACAATGCACAAGACAGTCCCCAGAACAAAAAATTACCCAGCCCCATGTGCCAGTGGTGCCAAGGGGAGGAAGGAACCCTGTTCTATGGGTTTCAAACTCTTTAGTTTGATTCTGTAACCTCAGGCAGAGTAAGAACAGAGGGCCAAACAACTTCCTGGTGGGCATTCCATAAAAAGGGATAAAACCCTTTGGGAAAGGTAGAAACGCGAGTCGACTTGCTTAGGTGCCCCTTCTCCAGCTGCTGTGACCCCATCTCTGCTGAGCACTGACTGATTCCCAGTGCGTTCACCCCTTCTACCCACTCGGAGACCAACCCGAGGAGAGGCCTGGCAAGTCTGGGGGTGCAGGCAGATACAATTCCGACACTCGGCTAGGCGTGCATAATGCTACTCACTGGGAATGAGTGATTGCTTTTACTATCTAAATTTTCAATTATTTAATATACCTCCCAGTAGTCGTCTGACCCGGAAAATCTCCCGTAATGAATTTCCTGTTTTGAAGAGAGAGAAACATACCATTTTTCTTGATATGTAAGTTTACTCCCTCCCATGAAAACGTTGTTGAACAAGTAAGCATTTATAGATCATCCATTGGAGGGCTGCTGAGTGGCTCAGCTGATTAAGAGCGCGAGCTCTGAGCAACAGGGTTGCTGGTTCGATTCCCACATGGGCCAGTGAGCTGCGCCCAAGCTGAGCTGCTGCTGAGCTGCTCAACAGGTGGCAGGATGGCTCAGCTGGCGAGAGCACGTGCTCCTAACAACAAGGTTGCCGGTTTGACTCCCACAGGCGATGGTGGGCTACGTCCACTTGCAACTAAGATTGAACACGGCACCTTGAGCTGAGCGGCCATGAGCTGACGACAGGCGGCCGGATGGCGACTGGACTTGGAGCTGAGCTAGCTGCGCCCTCAGCAACTAAGATTGAAGGACAACAACTTGGCTGTTCCCCTTCCCCAATTCCTCAACACTGTTCTCCTTCCCCAATTCCCCAATAAAAAGTTTTAAAGAAATAAAAAATATAAAGATAAGCACCCAATGTCGTGGCCTCGCCCTGCCTGTACCCCAAGGGGGAGCCCTATGTCTGTGGGGTGGGGGTTCCTGCCCCCAAGCTGAGGGATAGCACCAACTTGGGAAGGCTTCTTCGTGAGGCCACCTGAGAAGTCAAAATCCTTTCACACTCCAGTGCTTTCCTTTCCCTGCTTCCCAAATAAGCCGACACCTACGTTAATGCACCCTTGTTTTTAAAACAAAAAGCCAGGTAACTCAAAGTTATAGCTCCAAAAGCAATTGTAATTCGGCCACATCCACATAGATCTATATAAAGATGTCAGCTTTTGTATCCCCAAGCTCTTGAAAGCGCAATCCATCTGCCAAGAGACCAAATTTACGCAGCTGGGACCCCCACCAGAATTCTTCCACGTTGCAATTTCACCTTCTACAGTACCTGCTTTTTAGCATGAAGCATTCA